GTTACGTCACAATCTTTTAAATTCAAAGATTATAAGAAATTATATGTGACAATGTCACTTTTTCTAAATAAAACAAGTTAAAAATGCTTTAAACTATTTAATATCTATTATGTACCTATTTAACATCTATTGGTTTATTACACAGCCACACAAAAAAAATAAAGTGTCTTGATCTGGGGTCGAGACATATGTATTCCGATGTATTTCGATGCGCTGAATCCGAATCCGCCATCAGAATTTGGCCAATGGGTCCTGGTTTCGCCCTAATCTCAAAAAATGCCCTAAAATCGTTAAAATGGTCACTTTTAATTTATCAAAATTAAATCTAACCACATATTGTTAATTTTCTAAGATCCCTTAATTTAAATAAACTATTCTATCAGCTTTTTAATTCAAAATTCATATAAAACATTAAATCTACCGAACCTAACCTCAAAAACACATCTAAGATTCCAAACAAACAAATTATACCATACACAGCGCAATAAAAAATAGGTAAGCTCATGAAAGTTCCAACTTACGTGTTTCTATGACTGCTGATTACGAAGCCGGTGTTAGTTTATCAAAATTCAAAATGGCGGATCCAATATGGCGACCGATATAATTAAAATTGGTTTGGATTAGCTTGAAAATCGTTACTCGGGGGCTTATGGGGTCGCTGATGACGAATCCCATGTCGGTTTCTAAAAATTCAAAACGGCGGATCCAATATGGCGGTCTTTATTATTTTAACGATTTTTTTAAATTTATTACTCGCGGATTTTTGGGACCTTTGATAACGATTCCTATATCAATTTTTATTACCTTAAAGTCTTACGAATTGTTTTCTAACAATTCTTTCTAACAATTCGTAAGACTTTAAGATTATAAAAATTGATATACGATTCGTTATCAAAGGTCCCGAAAAACCGCGAGTAATAAATTTTAAAAAATCGTTAAAATAATAAAGACCGCCATATTGAATCCGCCATTTTGAATTTTTAGAAACCGACATGGGATTCGTCATCAGCGACCCCAAAAGCCCCCGAGTAACGATTTTCAAGCCAATCCAAACAAATTTTAATTATATTGTTCGCCATATTGGACCCGCCATTTTGAATTTTGATAAACTAACACCGGATTCGTAATCAGCAATCATAAAAACACCTAAGTTGTAACTTTCATGAGTTTACATAATTTTTATTGCGCTGTGTATGGTATAATTTGTTTGTTTGGAAGCTTAGATGTGTTTTTGAGGTTAGGTTCGATAGATTCAATGTTTTATATGAATTTTGAATTAAAAAGCTTATAGAATAGTTTATTTACATTAAGGAATCTGAGAAAATTATCAATATGCGGTTAGATTCAATTTGATAAATCAAAAGTGACCAATTTAATGATTTTAGGGTATTTTTTGAGGTTAGGGCGAAACCAGGACCCATTTGCCAAATTCTGATGGCGGATTCGGATTCAGCGCATCGAAATACATCGGAATACATATGTCTCGACCCCAGATCAAGACACTTTATTTTTTTTGTGTGGCTGTGTTATTTATAATATAATATGATAAATAATATATTCTCTTAATTTGAATCAGTTAAAAATCTTGGTTTTAACTGACAATCAGCAGTGACTGACTTTTTGCTTCTGAATCAGTTAAAAAAATAACTGAAAAATTATCCACAAAACACCGAAACTTTTCTAAATATGTATTAAATTTGCTTGCATACTTCGAAAAATTTACTCGCAAAGTTTAGTTAAAATTGTGTAAAGATTTAAATTTTTTACTACAATAAATGTTTATCGTCAAATTTTCTTAAAAATATAGCTTGAAACATTTCTGAACATTTTAATTACATTTTTGACTATAATTTCGTGAATATTTTCAGGAAAGTTTCGCGTTAAACATTTATTGAAGTGGGATATTTAAATCTTTACACAATTTTCACTAAACTTTGCATTTAAATATTTCGAAGCTTGCGAGTAAATCTTTAATAAATTTTTAGGAAAGTTTCGGTGATATGTAGGTAGTTAAACGTGACTAAATGAATCAATAAAAAAAAATTGTATTGAAACATCAGTTATTTTTAACTAATTGTCAGAAAAAAATATTTTTAACTGATTCAATAATTTTGAGTGTAGGATATAATATATAATGTCAAATATATAAAATTCACATTAAAATTTACGTGTGTGACGTGAAGTTATAGGGGGAGGGGGGGTTCAATTTTGTGACGAAGTGTGACATAGGGGGAGGGAGGGGTTAAAAATGGTCAAAAATCGCGTGACGTATTATGTGTACGGCCCCTTAAAGGTAAAAGGTTGCAAATTTATATACCTACATACGTATTTTTATTTAATCAAATAAAATATTTTTACAATAATTTAAATTTATTCAATTGAATAATTGTAAATTGAACCCTATAAAGGCGAGTGTAACTCATACTTAACTATTTTTTATATTTGTTAAGCAAAAAAATTTAATATGTGAAACAAACATCAATGTAAATATTACAATTTTAAAATATTTTACAGGAGGAATTTTCGAGTACTTCCCTCTTAATGTAAATGCTGATGAGCCATTTTACGAGGAACTGGTGAAAGATGATGTACAAGAAGAGTCATTGGCACTATCGTCAATGGATTTGCGGATGAACAGAATTATCGTTTTAAGGGAGATGTGGGATCAAATCCCAAAAAGTAATAAAATTGAATGTTACAGGGAATTGAAGAAATTGTTAACCAACCAATAATGATTAGATTCCACATAGAAATATATTTAAAAAATTAATTATTGTACTAATTTAGCTAACGCTAATTATCCAATAAAGATATTTCACTTAAATATTGTTTAATTTTTATTCCTGATATATCACATTTATTATGGGAATTAAAAATTTGTATACATAAGAGAAAGTGAATAATTTATCTTGTTCTGAAAAGCCTTTTCATTGCTTTATGAAAAATATTCCAATTGAGAATAGCAGTAAAATTTTTATTGACAAAATCCACTAAATGTGTCAGTTTATTTTAAGGATAATTGCGTTCGTTCACAAAATTTTGTAATCTATCATACCTAAAATAATAATACCCATTGTATATTTTTTCTATTTCAAAATATTTATTAATTCACGAAATATTGGAAACGCTAATAATCAAAAAGTTATTTTACAATGTAGTCAGAAAATGAAACACAATACTAAAAACAATCTTGTTGTTTTTGTTTATCGAAAATAAACACATTTTTAGTATAACTACACAAAACGAACTCACAAGAATAATAGATTAATATTATAAATACTAAATTTTTAGTATCACATTAGCAATATGTTTTATTGCAACAATTTTCATTTGGTATTGCTTTAAGTATACTATAACAATTTTTTATTATATATTTCCTGCATTAAAACTTTTTATTAATCTAAAAAATACTGATTATGCTGATAAAAGAAATGTTATTTTCAATAGGAGTCAGAAAGCACCTAAAAATGCTTAGAGGCTTATGAAACATTAACAAATTTTACGTTTAAAAATAAAAAAAGAAAACTACAAAATTAATAGTAATAATAATATAATACGTTGCTGATGGAACGAACACATTCTGACGTAAAAGATAGTTTAATAATATAGGGTAATTTAATTATATTTCACCTAAAATCGTTGCTATATAATTTTCTGAAAAATTGATACTTTCGAAACTGATTATTTGTGATATCTAGTAAACCAAATAAACATAATTATTTAACATTTTTTGTTGTTCATCTTAAAATATAAATATCAAGGGAAGCAAGTAAAGTAAAACGTGACTTTTTTATCGTTTCAACATTATTTTTAAAACCACACAAAAATTGTGAAAAGTGTAAAACAAATGATTGATTCTTGTTAAAAATCATTTAATGTTTCCAATTTTTGTAAATATTTAGTTAAAATCGCAAAATTAGATTATTTGACAAACAAACTTTGAAAATATATTTTATCTAATACTTTAATTGTTTTTATTGATTTACTCATTTGAAAATAGTTAATTAATCTATTTCGAATAAGAAAAAATAATTTGTTTAACACTTTTTACATTGTTTTTAATAGTATATTAAGCAACAAGAGGATAAAGGCAGCCATTTCTTTACGGTGATTTTCGTGACACGAGTGGAGGTCAAGGGCGCCGTAGGCGCCCCGAGACCGGAACAAGTGTCACAAAAATCATCGTAAAGAAATTGGCTGCCTTTATTCTCGTGTTACTTACTATATTTTTTATTCCTAATTCACAAAAGCGGCTATTTCAGATAGCAGGCGACAGGGAGTAAAAGTCATTCACTTGTTCGATTTGTATGAAAATGGCGGCCGTTTTCTCCCTTGGGCAAGAAAAATGCATGTGAACAGCTAATTTTCTTGCCCTTGGGAGAACACGGCCGACATTTTCATACGGTCGAAGAAATGAATGACTTTCCTCCCTGTCGTCTGCTATCAGAAAGCGCCGTTTTTGTGCATGTGGGATAAAAAAATATTTTCTTATTGCAAAAATGCGACCGTTTTCCGTACCTCCGTTAGTTCGAGAAAGGAATTCCTGAACACTACTATACAATCATTTCTAGAGATATCAATTGTTTTAAAAAATAGTAATGACTTCAGTCAAAATGTAATATAATAATATATCAATACGAAGTTTGTGGTATTACATAAGTAATATCTATCATTGCAATGATTTTTATTTTGCATTGTCTTAATAAAATTATCAATAAGCATAAAAAATAGCAACAAATAACTAAAACGACCGATTGAATAACTAAAAGAAAAACTTTAAATAATTTTCAATCTGAAATGAGGACTCTACTTGGCTTTATAGCTATCTAGTATGTCCATGATAATGTCGAATTTCGCTCCTTGTTCGTCATCTGACAATTTCTGCCAATCGTTTAAAAATAATTTAAATACACAATCTGCACGAAATTCTTTTTCTAATTTTGCTTTTGCTATTTGTGAAAATGTGTTCGATATTTCCTCTAAAGTTTCAGTTGATCGTGTTAAGGCGTCATTAAGAACCAATGAATTTCTTTTTTGTCTTGCAAATTCCTTCTCGCGAAACGATCAAGGGGTGGAGATGCCTTCACTTTTCCTGAAAGCTTGGATATCGGAATATCTTGCACTGATCTGTACTGCTTTTGAACTGGATAAGCATTAAATACATTTCTATTTCTGCAATTTTTTTCAGGTGTTGAAGTATGTAACCCCGAGTTTGTTTGTGTCTTTGATTTTTTTTTCAAATAGGCTGAATAAAAATCTTCAGCAGTATCATCTACAGCTTTTGGCGACGTAAACGCTAGGGGTGCTGAAATATTGGAATTCGGAAAACTTGTGGACAGTGAATGAATTGATGCCATTTTTGGATTAACTCCTTGCGATGTAGGCGGCACAATGTTTAATGAGCCATTAGCTGAATTTGGATCACCTGACGCTAGTGGTGTTGAAATATTGGAATTTGGAGAACTTGTGGAAAGTAAACGAATTGATGCCATTTTTGGATTAAATCCTTGCGATGTAGACGGCACAATATTTGGTGAGTCACTGGTTGAACTTGGATCATGTGATACCCGATGAGGATGATGATGATAATCATCATCTTGAATTTCAATAACTTCATTTTCAAAATGAAGTACATCGTATTCTAAAAATTCGTTCTTGATGTCAACAAAATTTTCATAGTAATCTTGTGCATTAAACGCAGGAAAAGTCTCGCTATCATGAGATTTCTCTTTATCTCCAGTACTGCCTAACGAATTGTCATAAGAAGCATGGGATGCTTCACACATGTCCAAAACTGTCAATAATAAACACATTTGCATCATAATAATATTTTTTTCAATAGACCTTAAACAAACTATAAAATAAAAGAAAGTAGTAAAACCTGACGTTATGTTATTAATATATAGAAATAAACAATGAATTTTTTCTTAATTGTTAGTATTATTTATTTATTGAGTAAAAGAAATTGACAATTTATAAGGAAACATTTGTTGTCTCTCTGTTTAATACAGAAAATACTTTAAAAATCTGCAATACTTCTATTAGTAATATTTTTTTCAAAAAAATGTGAAAAAATTCTATTAGTAGCAGTTTTTTACAAAAAAGTCGAATAAGTCTCAAAATTGGAGTCCTGAATTCAATAAATCATAATTATTTATTAAATAAAGTAAAGAAGGTTTAGAAGTCATATGTTTAAAGGCCTACTTAAATTTCTCAATAATAATAATATAATAATCATAATAATAATAAATATTCACCTGGAGAAGGAAGATGAGAAACATTTTCAAGTATTCCAGCACTAGAAGTCTTTTGAACTTTAATATGGTTCTCGAGAAATAAAAGATCCTTGTATAAGTACCAACCATAATTTGAGTTTTTATAATGTCCGTTGAACGAGCGCCTCAATTGTTTCCAACGTTTTTCAGGATCTGTCATTTGCATAAAAAATTTGAGTTTACGTAAACATTATTTCTTATTATTTAAACAGTCATTGATTAAAAAAATTTTCAATTTTAATACATTTTTTAGAGAATTTAATGAATTATACATTTTCAAATAATATAATGAAAACTTTTTTCACATTAGATTTTCATAATTTTTTAAATCTTTTAATGTGTCATTTATTTATTTCATTTATGTTAAAACAAATTTTAATTTGTTTTTATAAAGTGGACCATTTATAGCTCTACAATCTATCGAATATCTGAAAAAACCACTTTAAAAAATTAAATTTATAAATTTATTAAAACTAATTAAAAATTAAAAAAAAAATAAAACATTTCCTGCAATATAAAACCATAAATGACAATTAACTTGGATTATAAAATACTATATATTAATTTCGTGTGTTTTTACAATTATCAAACAACCAGCTCTAGATTATTTGTGCTGGACTTGCCCGTTTATAAAAAATTGTTGCAGTATACGGTTTTCAAATATGTATATAATTTGCAATGAAGTAACTTTTATCTCTCCTAATTTTAATTTTTTAAAAATATAATTTAAATTTATACCAATTTTTTGAAAAATTGGATGGAAGGTAAATCGTTTTTTTTATTCAGAATATATAAAATTTTTCTTTCTTAAATTAACATTAACCATGACACAAGTTTTCTGAAATTTAATACCCCTCTACCCTTATGATATTTCCCATTTTTTACATGTAAAAAGTGATATTTTGCTTAAAACCCCTCCCATCCAAACCCTTAAGTATCACATGATTTATTGATAACCTCATGAAACTAATATTTGCATACTTTAAAATAAAAACATAATTGTAGGAAGGTTGTAGGTGAATGTTCCGAAAGAGTAATTTACCGAAAGTGGATTTAATCGAAAAGTGCTTACTTCACGTTGAATGACGTTTCAGTTAACTATATTAATTATTTTTCAATTGTTTATAATTATCTATAAAGATTTAATAAAAACAATCTATTAAGAAAATAAAAAGCAATTAAATATATTGAAAATAAAATACCAGTTTTTAAATCAGAGAAAAAAATGTGTTTTGACTGTTCAAAGGCTCCTCGATACCAAAACGAAGACCGTCAAATGACTTTTCAGCTAACTATATTAAGGATATGTCCAAGGTGTGAAATGTAAAAAAACCAAAAGGTAAACAAACCAAGCACAAAAATCGAACTTTTGTAACAGCCATTTATCTTACAAAAATGAGCATTTTTAGACTTTCTTTACGAAAATGAAAAATTAGAGTTTCAAAGTTTCCAATAAAATCATTTTTGACTATACGCAATAAAAAGCAATTAATAAAATAACTAATTAAAATGACCTGTAAAATAGCATTTTTGACGCGTCGCGAAAAAAAACTGTTTGAGTATATCAACCGCACCGATGGTGAAGAAGTTCCTTGTCAGCGATTGGACCTTCAACATGTCAAAAATGCTATTTTACAGGTCATTTTAATTAGTTATTTTACTAATTGCTTTTTATTGCGTATAGTCAAAATTGATTTTATTGGAAACTTTGAAACTCTCATTTTTCATTTTCGTAAAGAAAGTCTAAAAATTTTAATTTTTGTAGGAGAAATTTCTGTTATTAAAGTTGTTATAAAAATCGGAATGGCTTGAAAATTTCTACTCGGGGGTTTTATTGGTCGCTGATTACGAATCAGAAGTCAGAATTTAAAAATTCAAAATGGCGGATCCAATATGGCGTATGTCAAAATTGAAAATCAATCGGAATGGTTTGAAAATTGATATTCGGGGGTTCTCGTGGTCGCTGATTGCGAATCTGAAGTCAGATTTCAAAAATTCACAATGGCGGATCCAACATGGCGGCCAAAAAAAATAAAAAATTCGTCACATTCGTTTGAAAAAGGGTACTCGGAGGTTTTTTTGGTTGCTGATTACGAATCTGCTATCAGATTTCAAAAATAAAAAGAAAATTAAAATTTCGTCCAATTCGTTTGAAAAAGGGTACTCGGGGGGTATTCGTGGTCGCTAATTATGTACCTGACGTGGGAAATGTTTACTATTGATTAGATAAACTAAAGCGTCTTGTATAAATGCATGCTTCCATGATCATCATTAGCCACCAGTAAACTGGTGTTGCTTGATTCTCACCGCGTTGAGGTAAAACAATTATTTATCAGTAAATATAAACATTTACATTTAATCTAAAAAAAATTTTTTAAATGAAAAAAATACAAAAAACCAAAAAAGATATTAAAAAACAAAATTAAAAAAAATATAACAAAAGAAAATTAAAAAAATAAAGATTCTATCATCATCTACCTCCACGCGGTGAGAATCGGGCAACACCAGTTTACTGGTGGCTAAAGATGATCATGATACCATGCATTTATACAAGACGCTTTAGTTTATCTAATCAATATCATACATTTCTCACGTCAGGTACATAATTAGCGACCACGAAAACTCCCCAAGTACCCTTTTTCAAACGAATTGGACGAAATTTTTATTTTTTTTATTTTTGAAATCTGATAGCAGATTCGTAATCAGCAACCAAAAAACCTCTGAGTACCCTTTTTCAAACGAATTTGACGAATTTTTTATTTTTTGGCCGCCATGTTGGATCCGCTATTTAGAATTTTTGAAATCTGACTTCAGATTCGTAATCAGCGACCACGAAAACCCCCGAGTAGCAATTTTTAAGCCATTCCGATTGATTTTCAATTTTGACATCCGCCATATTGGATCCGCCATTTTGAATTTTTAAATTCTGACTTCTGATTCGTAATCAGCGACCAAGAAAACCTCCGAGTAGCAATTTTCAAGTCATTCTGATTGATTTTCAATTTTGAAATCCGCCATATTGGATCCGCCATTTTGAATTTTTAAAATCTGATTTCAGATTCGTAATCAGCGACCACGAAAACCTCCGAGTACCCATTTTCAGGTCCATTTAAGGGAAAAAATATTGTTGAGCAATATGAATGGAATTTTTGAAAAAAAAATTGTGTTTCATGGCGCCATTTTGAAAAACGTGGAGTGGGGGTAAAAAAGTCAATGCATATTTTCAAAGAGTAGGTATAAAGTGCACGATTTATAAAATTTTCGGTCCTGTTAAAAAAATTTTTTCCTTTGAAATTGCTAGATGTTTTATAAAAAGTCATGAAAAAATCGTGTTTTTTTACAATAATTGTTTAAAAAATGATACAAAAAAATTTTTGTAACAATTTTTGATGTCATATTTGGATTCAGCACACTCAAATACGTAATAAATGGATTTGCTGAAAGAAATTAACCATTTTTTAAAAAAATATCATCTATTAAAGTTAGACTTGAAATTTTGTGCATTTGGGCGTTAATGGGTTAATAAACTCATAATGAAGCTTGCATTTTATGTGTTTTCAAAAGAATTCAGTAAATTTGAAATTTGCTGGTACTCTCTAAATCTGAATATGTGAAAATTCACATATTTGAACGTTATAAGTCGTCTTCTCGATCAATACGTGCATATACACTTATAATAAGTGAAATTTCACTCAGAATAAGTGAAAAATTCACTTATTTATAAATGTATATGCACTTATTGATCGAGAGGACGACTTATAACGTACAATAAGTGAAATTTCACACATTCAGATTTAGAGAGTACACTTCACGTATTTTGACTCAAATACATATTCTTGTCGTTTAAAAATAAACAACCCTTTTCAAAAAACACTCCTTTAAATAAAGGGAGACTAAAATATAAAGAGTCAAAAACTATAAAATTTGATAAAACTGTATAAATGTAAAAAAATGTAAATAAATGTAAAATTGAAAAAATAGAACAAAATTTCAACCTAAAAAAATTGTTTTACAATTACCCCGTATAAACAAAAATCTACAAAATGAACAAAAATCGCTTAAAATTTGTTACTCGGGAGTTTTGGGGTCGTTGATTATGAATCTGATGTCAGGTTTTAAAAATTTTTTAAATTGGTCGAATTTGTCTTAAAGTAATTACTGGGTAATTTATAATTTTAGCGTTGCATATAACGGTTCCACAATTCAAAAGGAAGTTGAAGTAAAATGACTTCTAAGCTTGCGTGGCTATGCGGTATGCGTATTCGACTTATGTCCTCCAGGTCTAGGTTTTGATCTCCCGTGCGTGTGAAATTTTTCATTCTTAGTTTTAAATGTTCTGTGTATAATTCTGAATATTGTTACATAAATTATAAGTTTAAATAATTATTAACAATGATAATAATAATTAAGTAATTAATTTAAATACCTGTGTGGAAAAAGAAAATTTGTCCTATCATGGTCCTACCTATTTTGCCCTGTTAATAGCTTGGACCTAAGTAGGCAGTGTAGTTTGGATCGACAATGGCTGGTGATGCGATTTTAGCCTGGTCCTAACTTGGGAGCCTAGTTAGGACCAGTTTATGGGTCCATTTTTGGACTTAGAAAGGACCATCTTAGACAGTATTTTCTATTTCATTATAATTTTAATTAGTTTATAATATTTGTTAAAGAAATAACCTACATTATTTATTAATAATAAGTATTAGTTTGAATTAATTATTATTTTTTTCAATTAAATGATGACCAAAAGCGAATTCATAAATAATGTTAGTATATATGCAGAGATTAATATATATTCCTCTAATATATACATTAAAAATTATAAAAAAATTAGAAATTTGTTAATTACATTATTGTACAGTATATATGTGAATATCCACGAGAATAAACAGGGCTTAGCTCTAAAAAATAATTTTGAGTTTTTTATGCTAATCGATAGATTTTATATTGCTTTTTTAAATGCAAAAATCAAAAGTTGTAAATTGTCAATTACTTTTGACAATACAACGTTTTAAAGATGTTATATTGTATGCATTCCTTCGTTCTGCTTCTTTCAATCACTAGCCCTGTGAAAGCTAATTCCTGTTTTCTCGTAGACAGTCACATATAATCTTTAAATTGCATACTTATACGAATACAATACAGAAAAATCG